AACGGGGTCAATCAATCGTCATTTTGTAGAGCGTTTTTTACTGCATCTTTTCTTCATAGAGACAAATTTACAACCACTTGTTTCACTATAGAAAAATTTATTGTTCAAATCGAGTCAGGACTTCTGGCCCACCCTTTAAGTCATTAGAATAATAAAAGATGGTGGCGATTCAAGATGCGATAATATTTATTGAGAACACGAGAGGCAAATTCAAGAAGATATCCGTAGACAACGGCATGAACAACGAAATCAAGAAGAACAGCAACAACTCGATGACAGAAAACAAAAAACTGAAGAAAAGGAAGTGTCGCAGTGGGAGCACTAGCTCATGTCGGCATTTGCACATGCAGCAGTGATCAGAACTATGCACAAAATTCGTGAGCCAAGTATTTGAAAAGATATCAGTGTCTCCACAATGAAACTTCATAAAAAAATATTATCAAGCATACCATCAAGGGTCCAATGAACTAAATAAGCATATATCAAAACTGAAATCCGAGAAGGACCAGAATCTCGAGAAATCTGTTACACTTTTTCGTTACTGTTCTCACCAACAGCATTCAATCTGTATCCTAAGCATTTCGCACGATTTCCAATCTTCTAACAAAAACTTACATACAAGAAGATAGAGAATTTTCAACGCTTCAAAATAAGCTATAAACAAGCTCAAAATTTTCCATATAAAGTCATTCTCACTTTTTTCTGTCAGAACCATATCCGCGTGATGATAATATCAGTTTCTGCAACTAAGTTTCTAGAAATTTTTCTAGAGGGTTTTTACAGTCTCCAAAAGGGTTTCTAAAAAACTGTTTTCTCAATTGTTTCAAGCTGCATGGACTATATGCGTTTCTTAAGCTGATCACGGATAACTCTAAAATCTATCTCTAAAGCATTTGAGGAAAGTTTGATTTTGATAGACACGGACATGTTTTTGAAAAGCTGTTTATAGCTCATTTTGGAGCGTAGAAAATTCTCCACCTTCCTGTATGTAAGTTTTTGTTAGAAAGTTGGAAATCATGCGAAAAGCTTAGGATACAGGATGAATGCTGTTGGTCAGGAGAGTAATAAAAAATTGTAAAAGATTTCTCTCTACAGTTTACCAGAAGAAATTTTAGAAGTTAAGCAAGTTCTGAAGTGAAGCAGCTACTGAGCCATATTCTTAGAGAGACCATTTCTCGTCTTTTGTTTTGTGAAAGCTTTCAAATAGTTGGGAGCTAGAGTAGAGTTTTAGATACAATCTCGACCACTGCTATATCGTCATATGTATGTGCCAAATTTGTGCTTTCTCACATTTAGCCAAATATTTATGTCGTTCTCATATAACTTATTTTAGAGGAATAAATAATCTAATAAGTCTGGCAGACTTGGCACAAAAATCTTCCGCTTTATTTAGAATCTATTTAAACTTTACATACTTTTTTGGTTTTGTTATTGTTGTTTGTGGTTTAAACCATGCCCACACTTCAGCACCGGGTGGTGCACTTACAATGGGAAAATTCCACTGTTTGTATCTCCACAAACCTTGTGTTAGCGATATGTGAAATTCATCGATAGAATTCAGTCGAATTAGATCAGCAATCGACTTTGGAAATAAATTATAATGATGGACTAAGCAAACAAAAACAAACACACTCATTTATACTTTTCTGCAATATAAGGAAGTACAGTCACCAGTACAGAAAAATGGACGGAAATTTTTTTAACGCTTTTATTGCTCCAACAGTTTAGTTTTGTAGAAAGTCATAGTTGAGCAGTGAATTTCACTTGAGTGTCTCATTTGAGTGCGTTCTCATCTAAGTGGGTTTCCATTTTAGTGCGTCTCATTTGGATGCGATCCATTTGGGTACGTTCTCATTTGAACGCATGCTCAACTAAGTGCGTCTTATTTTAGTGCGTTTTCAATTACACCACTCATGCTTGAAAATATTTCGAAATTTTTGAACTATCTGTTAACAGTGTTTGTTATTAATTCTTAGTGGTTAGTAATCTTTTATTTCAGTCTGTCAGCACATTTAGTGCAATTGACCTATGACGAAGTAGTTGATTCGACACCATTACGTATGCTACATAAAATGAAACCGTTTTATTATTATTTTTCAAATACCTGATTAAATGGACAGTATGATATTGATATATGGAATGTTTTTGGTCAAGATAATCGAACAAATGATGATACTGAATCATGGCATTCTACACTGTTACGTCTATTACAAACACAACCGACTGTATGGCGATTGATTTAAACACCTCAAGCACAATATGTCACAAAAAAAACAGAATTTAATTTTCGAATAGCTCGGTTCGAGTTTTCGGATATACTCGAAGCTCGGTGCATACCTACGTTGTACCGCTCTGTTGAGTTTTTGATATTTTAATTTTTTTCGATCTGTATATATGTTCCTGCACGTAAACGTTCAATACCATGTTGAACTAAGACATATTGTGCTTGAGGTGTTTAAATGAGAACACACTCAAATGAGACACACTCATTTGCCATCCTTTCATAACTTTCCCTACTAAGATCATGTCGTTGGCAAAGAAATTTAGTGAGATAGTTTATTTTTTTATGAGCACCCGTTCTTTTGTTAAATCCAGACATGTCACTGACATCAAAATCTCACTCTTACTATCGTTTACAATCGTTTAAGTACAACTTACCGATATTATTCTCTATGATATCATTGTCAACGACGGTTGTGAATAAAAATTGAAAATAAGTATGACCGCTCTGTAATGGACGGATATACAATTCTTCTTTGTAATTATCTTTTAAACATAAGATAGGCGTTGATAAACAACAAGAAATAATAAATAGAACACGCAACATTTTTTTTAAACTTAATACGACTAAATATATATCACCATTTTGTAACACAGAAATTTACAATTATCTAGAAATAAATGGGTCAACAGGATGTAAACATTATTAAATCTACTTTGGCGGAAATAAATAACCTCTCTCTTAGCCTTCAGCAGTACTCTCTCCACCACAGATGTAAGATTTGATTGGTTTGACATAAACTATGCAATTATCTCTAAAAAAACCTAATTACTTTTCTGTAAAACAAAAATCTAATATCACAAAAACTGAGTAAATACGTTTATACTGAAACGTTTCAAAATGAATAAAATGACAAGGAGGATTTTATTGATTGAACGACGTGTTTTTCGTTTTACATAAAAAAAGAAAAAAAAATTACTACTAGAAGGGAAAACACACGCACAAAGAAAACAAACGAGAGAGTGTTTGTATGTGCATAATAGTCGTGAGAAAACGTTAACGTAATAATTATAGATTGGAAACTAATAAACCACCGAATTGTTTTATTCTTCTCTAGGCTTAATAGCTTTGATAGCTTTGCCATCTTTTCCAACATTTTTCTTCCATGTTCCTTGACAAAAAAGAAAATCGTCGTTACATGAGATAAAAATATAATATAAGATTAAACCATTCCTTACCAACTTCATAATCCCATTCAGATGCTAAGCCAGTTTGTGGGCCTTGACGTGCAGCTATATGATATTCTAACTGTTTTTTTAACTTTTCATCTGATGTACTATCGGGTGGATCGAACGTGTATACTGGAAGCAAAGAGTGAAATATAACATAAAGTGCATATATTTATCATCTGATTATGACGAAGTAATATATCCTTATTATTTACCTAAGCGCCGGTATCCATCGTAGACCAACGTAAGCGCAGACAATCCAATTAATGCCATTCCAATGGACCATTTCCATAAACCTTCAGGTTGCGTAAATTCTTCAAATGTTTGACGAAAACTAGAACGATAAACTGAAATCCCCCCCACACACAAGAATGCTATAATAGCAAAGTACTCATATCCAACGTACGTTTTTTCTTCTCTTCAATTGTTAAACTATGCCAATCGCCTTGTTCTTTTTCTCTTAATTTTTTCACTTCTGGGGTGTCAACTTCCCAACGAATACTTGGACACGGAAACATTGCCAAATCAAAGTAATCAGGATTACCTTTCATACCATAGCCAACAATTTCACGATTACCTAAAAACAGAGAAAACTGATTGAAAATACTTATTTTCGAGATAAAATTAATGAATTACCTATTCTAGGATGCATTCTCATTCTATCGTGGTCGATATGTGGCGGTTTCAGCGGATCTAATTCATGTGGCTGTTGTGAATGATTTTGTGTTTGAGTTTCGCGTACTTGTGAATGTGTTGTTGTTACAGCTGTACGAAATTGTACTAAAGATGAATATAATTTCATTTGTTGAGGAACATTACGAAATAATACCACACTCATCTTCTTCTTCTATTAATGAAAAGCCGCTTTTTTTATCTAAAATGTAGAATAAAATACACAATTAACAATAAGTCATAAAAACTCCTAGTGAATGCACTTGAGATCAAGTACTTGGTTACTTGCAAATTTTCTAAAGTACATGGTTAAGCATTTATCAAACATTTTTAGATTTAATATATGCCAAGTACTTGGAAGCAGACCCCTGCAGGTCGCCAATATTTGGCAACCTAATCCTAACCTAACCTATGAATTCGACAACCTAATCCGAACCTAACCATTGAAAAAATAATAGAACAACCTATAACCTAACCTAGCCTATAACTTTTGCAACCTAATCCTAACCTAACCTATAGGTTAGGTTAGGTTAGGTTAGGATCAACCTGCAGGGCTCTGCTTGGAAGAACTTTGGATACTTGCATATATTTCGAAAGTATTTACCAGGTCACTTGTCAAATACTTGATGAAGTACTTACCTAGTACTTACTTACACTTGTTAAATTACTTGATAAGTATCTTTCCTACTTGCAAAAAGCTCCAAGTACTCTGGACATTACTTACACAAGTACTTGATCTCAAGTACATTGACTAGGAACAACGTTTTACGTAAAGGGTAAGGACAAACGATAATAGCATATCCGTACGTGAAAAAAAGGCTAGTATAAACTAGAAACTATACTGCTTTTCTCTGTACAGTGCTTCAGCGATTTCGATTAGGTGGGGGAAGGTGGAGGAATTGCCCCACCTTGTTTGAAACAATTATTCCGTTCATTTTAAAAAATTTACTCCTGCTAAAAAAATTATTCCGAAAAGTTAAAAGCCCTTCTTTTTTAGTTATTAGCTAAATTTTCAGAGTTGCTCCATAAAACTTCCCCCACCTTGCCAAAGTTCTATCGAAAACGCTGCAGTGCTTCGAAGCCAAAAGGCCAGTTGCATTCTAACAATGAGGTATTTGATCCAAGTACCTGATTTCGGTAAGTACTTCGCAAAATTCTCGAACATTTTCAAGATTACTCTCTTGCTATGAACTTTTACAAGTACTTCGTCAAGATTGCAACACTTGGTTTTATTATTATGAAGTATTTTGTGAAAGTCCTTGTAGTTTTACTTGAACAAGTGCTGACATGATCGAGTGAGACAAATGGAAAAACTAGAAAAACTGAACTGAAAAGTTGTTACACGAAATTTAACAAAAAAAACGTGAAAATAAAAATAAGCTTTAATGGCGAAGAAAAATTGGAGCCGAACGAATAGAAAACCACAATACAAATATACATAAATGGTTATATATCGTTAGCTTTTTGTAGCCGCAGATAATTTGTTGCCGTAAGTAAGGATCCATAAAACACATGATGGATCTTACTTTTCTATTGGTGAATACCAAACAAACGAGAATGAATGAAAACGATGTCGCAGAAGTACGATTCTAGTTCAGAGATCTAAGTGACAGAAACTATAGTTAGGTGCAGATTTTCATCTAGATCATGAATATAATCATCATATCATGCTTATATTATAAATTCTCATAAGAGTGAGCGACTTCCAACCCACTTACTTGTTCTAGATCAATATCTACTGATTATTGTTTATTAATCTTTTCTGTGTTCTGGGATACATACCATTATTATTAGTTATTATTTTCTTCGTTGTATTTTTCATTTAAACTATTATTATATTTTTATTATTGTTATGCCATCAAAACACAATCGGTCATTACACATAAAAAACCAACACCTTTAGTATTCTCAAATCAAAATTCTTCTGATGATAATATCAAACGTGTATTTATTGGTAAACATTTAACAAAACAACAATCGGAATTTGCATATAAAAAATGTCAAGAACATCATCAACAACAACAACAACCATCTTCGAATATTAACCGTCGACAACATAATAATAATAATAATTTACTATCATCATCACCAACAACGACAACGCAACAACAAAGTCCAATCTGATACAAGCAGGTCCTTTTACTGTACTATTATATTCTTCATACGAATAAACTATCTTTTCTCACAATATACAAAACTTTGTATATTGTGAGAAAAGACAGTAGTCTTATCAAAGACAAAAAGCTTTTTTCGTTTACTGATTTTGACATCCAGTATTTTCAAGAGACAAATTTGGTCCATCGATGTCTAGAAATGTCTCTCCCTGGTTTTTCTTGTGTACGCTGTGACCAAAATCGGCACGCTGGTGGCCTTGCCACGTACGTTTCTCGTAATTTTATTTTTACTGTCATTGACGTTAGTGATTCCGTTAATTCCCACGCGGTGCAAGCTGTATTTGACATGGAGCGAACTCCATTACCTGCGTATTTTGAATGAAACTCTTTGTGTCTAAAATCTCAAATTAAGATTTTGGTGTTTTAATAACGTTTGCATGACACAGCAAACGAAATAGATAAAAAGATCAATGTCTAGGAAAGAACTGTCAGACTTCTTGACGATTTTCTAAAAAGTTTATATTTAAGTATGGAAAAACGGTAAATTTTTCGTTGTTTTTACGAAATTGTCAAAAAAAATTCTTTGTTCTGGTCCCGGTTAATACTTTTTAGTCTCATGCCCGTCGGGATCTGGACGGTTCCGTCCATGTCTAGGTATAACTGATAATTTGTTTGCTCTTCTTTCGTCGTATCTTTCTTAGCGTTCTCAGTGTGTTCGTGTTACTAATACTATCTCTTCTCGTTCTGTTATTTCTTCCCAAGGAAGTGTGGGCCACTGTTTTTTCTTTTTTATCAATCCAGGTGAAACGCGCCCTGTAAAACCTAGCAAAGTCTGATATGATATTTTCTTGTGAAATCTTGTAATAAGATCTTAAGATATGATCTTACAAGAACTTGTTATATGATAATGTCAGATCTTATGGACTCTTGTAATTTCCTGTTATAAGATCTTACAAGATCTAGTTATAGAAGTGACAAGGTGTTGTAAGATCTTATAAAATCTTGTGCCAGATGTCGTTGACTTCTATATATTTTTTTGTCGTAAGATTACATAAGATTTTACAAAATCTCATAAGATCGATGTCTCATCTCTACTATAGAAATCGTGCGACGATATTCAGCTTATATATAACATCATTCTCTTTGAAAAACTTAGAACTTTTTTGTCTTTTCAACTTCACACGTCAACTGACCACATATGAAGTGCATGGTAAAGAAACGTGGCATTATCATATAACAAGGTCTTGTAAGATCATATCGTAAGATCTTATTACAAGATTTCACAAGGAAACATCAGACCTTGCAAGGTTTTACAAGACGTGTTTCACCTGGATTGATAAAAAAAGAAGAAACAATGGCCTACGGACACTTCCTTGGGAAGAAATAACAGAAGGAGAAGAGGTAGAATTATTGAGAAAAGAACCGCAAACTCTGTAACTCCGGAGGAAACATTTTCTATGGACAAATTTTTTAGAGTATACGCAGTTCTGCTAGCTCAACAACATACCCGGAAGGAAAACAAATTGAAGTTTATTGAAGATTCCTGTTTTCTCCTTGTCGTTGATGCCCAATTCGGTTCTTTCATTTAATGCGAAGATAAGCGGTACTTGTATGCACGTAATTGCGTTCAATTATCATAAATAGAAAAGAAAGTTCGTTTATTTTGAGAAGTTGGACGATGACGTATTAGTCGGCATAAATAATTTACGTGCTGATGAATGTTTAATATATACTATTAAAATACATACTATACGCTCCAGTGACGATCGAACAACCAAAACGTAGTGCGGATGAAATTAATGAAAGTGATACTGGAAAACTAGAGCTCATTTCTGAACAATCTCCGTCATTCATTGTGGAAGATACACAATATATATTCTCCATGCAAACAACAACAGCGATAAATACCAAAATTTTCAACATCATCCTCATTATCATCGAATTGGATGAAAAAGCTCTACAAGCTCGAAAGTTATTAATATTCATTGTAACACGTTTTTATTATAATCAAAACAATAATATCAATGTTCAATCATTAGATAGTGTGATAATGAAAACATTTGTCATTCAATCTCTTGACAAATTATCTGTAGATGGTTGTTCAAGTGTGTTATAAAACGTGTTTCTGATTGTCAGATATGAGGAATAAATGACCGTACTCCTGCTCAATTTTCAAAGAACAATTTGGTAGTAGTTATAAAAATATTTCTTTTTTTCTGTCCTCTGATTCTTGGGATGTGTTTTTCGCACTGGACTTTTTTCTGGTGTTTAATATTTTCATATATATGTCTCCTTCGTTAAACATGCACATCGAAATCTATAGGCGCTTTTATTTATCAGTATCAGATTTTCTATGCTCTCCCCTTTTTTATGTTCCAATCAACAAATCAAGATTTTTATTTTGTTCTAAGTGTGAAATACAATTTGCTTTATGACATCATTTTTGTATATTTTTTGAAGTGTTGTGCATTTCTTCATGTGAAACACGATAGAGAATTAATTAGCGCCTTGTTTACTAGAATGTTTGTCGTTCACAAGCTATATCAGTAGAATCTACACTTTTCCAGCATTTTTCGTTTGGAATCTATAAAATTTCTCTCTTAAAACTGCTCTACTGCAGAAACCTATCCATAGAATACCTCGGAAAAATCTAAACCAAACGCTTCTTTGAAAAAACGTTTTCATTTAGCGATTTAGAGTATTTTTAATGACTTAAGATACCAGAAATATCTTTTTACCTTTTAATTTCGTTCAGTTCTATTTAAAAACAAGTTCAACATCTTTAATTTCTTAGTATTGTCCGCAGATTTTTGACCAATCCTTCTTTTAGCCGTTATTAGCAGCAGTTATTTACGGCTAAATAAGATGTGTCAAAATAAAAGATGTCTTGGATTCAAAAATCTTTGAAGGTCGTTCGCAGATATAAATTCATAAAGTCACGGAACAGAGTGAGTTCAGACGACTGGTATTCAGTCACAGCAAAAACGAAAACATTCTTTGCTATTTATTGGTCACTAAGTGAAGGCGAATGAGATGAAGCTTGGATAACTATTGGTATTGGTATTGGTACGTATACACTTAAAATAGGTACCTCAAAGCTGTAAAGTTTTGAATATACAGTGAAACGATGGAAACTTGATGAAAGTAGAACACTCAGTGCATTCAAATTAGTAGTAATATGTAGTAGTAATGTTATGTACATAATAATGTACATGTTCATTTGCAGCGATGACTAGTATGAACTGAACAGAATGTTGACGATAGTGTTATATGACGTAAACTCAAAAGTATGCTCTACAGTCGACGTAAAAAATTCAAAAGCCGGATTTGATGTTGCGCTTTTAAGTACTTTAGATTTTCAGCTGCGTGAAAACATACACCAACTAGATACGGAAAAGATAGTCAAAACTTCAGATACTTTGTTCAATCATGTTAAGTCTTGGAAAAAACAAACATTTAGAGGAATTATTAGGCAGAAACAATATCCAATAGGTACATTTATCTTCAAGAATTTTCCGGCTTTTGGATCTTCGCAGATCTTAAGCATGCTCCTCGATAATGAAGGTTGGGAATATCATCCTGCGTTCTATTCTAGAAAAACTTACTCCAAGTTTGAAAATATTTTAATTAACTTAGATTAAATTGAAGATTTTTTGGCTGATATCAACAGTAATATGAATACTATCAGAGTTTTAACACACCGCTCCTTACTGCACACTGGTGAGTGGACATTTTCAGTTGAGGAATCATTTGTTTCATTAAATCCAGCTTTTTCATAGATAATTTTCGACAGCGGTTCTTTCCTGGTTTTAAGGTTTTTCTTGTACTTTCTTATAAAACTCCAGAAACCAGTATAATATCATCCTTTGCTTTTGAAATTTTTACGTCGATTTTCTGCTTTTTTTTTTATTCCAAAATGGAGATTTTACTTTTGCCTATTTATTCTCAAATTCAGAGTAAAACTGTCGAGTGTTTACACTACTTATGGTAAGTGCTTGGTAAAGTATTTGCGTTTCTTAAACTTACAAGTACTTTTTTTACTGGCAAAAAAGTACAACTTTTGACATTACATTCTATGATTAGTGTCGCGTTGTTCCTGAATAAAACTGGTTAAAAATTGAATAACATATTAGTTGCTTGATATAACCATATTATCGATGATGTACTCTGAATTTAAAAAGAATTGAAATATAATTTCAAATTTTGAATTTTCCCCTCTCCTGCCTCGAAGATCTTTAGTCCTTCTATCTGCACTTTCATATCAATCAAATTAAGTTACGTTCACATGTATATCTCTTCTCATCCGAATTTGGTTTCTTATATACTTAATTGGTGTACAAAATTAATTACTAATGAGTTACTAATGTTGATGTGCACATGACGGTATAAAATACGGGAAATAAACAGATAGAGTAAATGATCAAACAAGAGCGATGAATAAGACTTTAGAACGACGCATAATCTTTGATTGAAACACAGATTATATGTTCCTTTCCATAACTAATATTTCCTTATAGATCTTTTCTTTGCTCTTAGAGAAAAATTCATTGTCTATTTTAATGTGAATGATTATTCAATCGTTATAATTCTTTTGATTGATAGAAACTTGAAGTTTGGAATGATGAAAAGCCTGTTAAGATGATTAGTATTCATTTTGTTATACACGAAATAGAAGAGAAACGTTCTAGTTAGCTACATTTCCACTATACGGATAATAATTTAATTTTAATGTTGTCCGTCCTATAACAATTATCTTTCTCTGATTTTGATTTTAAGAATGTTCTTCATTTACTTTAGATAAAGTTGGAAAAGATGATCAATAACAAAAAACGTTTATAAAATCTTAGTACTCTCTTTTCTTTTTACATATAATATGTCTATATAATTTTGTGTATATAAAATGATGCATCTAATTTTATCATCATTCTTATTATTTCCACTACTTCATCTGTGTTTTTGTGCATTATCTAACGGTATTATTTCAGTAAAATGGAATAATCAAGAACCCCCTGTTGTCGACCGAATTCTATATGCTAACACAAAAATTGAATTCAAAATTATTTGTCAAACACCAACATTGAATGATACAAATGCCGTTATACGTGGTAAGAAAAAACCAATTCTAGATCCAGAAACATCGAATAAGGGTGAGTAAAACATCGTTGTTAAAATTTTTTCAGATACGCATCTATCTAATATATTGCAACGTTGTTTTTTGTTTCAGTTATCAAAATCGAGGGCATAATTGGTCGAGTGGCTACTTGTTTACCAATTCAATTTGACTTTCCAGCAGGGTCTTCCAGTAATTCAAATAGTAAAGTAAATGATGAGGCAGAAATGAACAAACAATTCTGGGAAGATATGGAGATAAAAAATTTTATCATTGAACAACAAGGATGTGATTATACAGGACAAAATGTGAAATTGACACAATCAACCAACTACACAAGTATGGCAAAAATGAAGCAAACAACAAGTGCTGAAACTACACGATCAGATGTAAATTATCTATCGACATGGAATGATGGGTTCTATGTCATTGAATTTTACAAACCCACTGGCGATTTGAATTTAGATGTTGTTTTAGGTGTATCGATGAAATCAGCAAAAGGTTATTTATCTGGTAAGTCTTAGAAATTTTCTGGACGATGCACACATGTTTTGTTGTGTTTTCTCTTTTAGCCGATGAATTTCTATCGTTGATATTTTATGGAGTTATGTGTGCTATTTATGCTTTATTCGCTATTTTTTGGTTTATATGGTGTTCTTTTTATTGGTAAGAACAAAAAGTGTAGGATAAGAATGATTTTTGATCATTTGCATCACAATTTATTCTTAAATCCACTTATTTTTCTTCATTTTTAGGCGAGAATTATTAAAAATTCAATTTTGGATTGGTGGTGTTATTCTCATGGGCATGGTTGAGAAATCGGCATTTCTCGCTGAATACGATACAACAAATCGTTATGGTTACACAATGCAGTATGCCATTCTTACAGCTGAAATGATTTCGTGTTTAAAACGTACTGTATCACGCATGTTAGTCGTTATTGTTGCACTTGGGTTTGGGATTGTTAAACCGCGTTTGGGTCCACTTAAGCAAAAAGTAATTGGGATGGGTATGCTTTATTTTACTATTGCCGCTATAGAATCACTGGTACGCTTATACTCGAAATATGACGAAAAAAATAGAAGAGTATTGGCTTCACGAACTCCATTAGCTGTAATTGATGCAACTATTTGTTATTGGATATTTACGGGTTTGGTGCAAACAACGCGTGCATTACGTGTACGAAAAAATGTCATTAAGCTTAGAGTTTATCGTCATTTTACAAATACATTATTGTTTGCAATTTTTTCTTCAGTTTTATTTATGTTATGGTCATTAAAAGCACACTTTGTAAAATGTGTGACTAATTGGAGAGAATTCTGGGTAAGCGAATGATAGTTGGAGAAAATATATTCTGAATAGTGTGCGTAGTAAACAAAATACACGAAAGGGTCTTCGTTCTACTAACAGTGTTTACATGGATTACATTATTTTTGATCTTTTTAGGTCAATGATGCATTCTGGCATATTTTATTCTCTCTCTTACTGCTTGTCATTATGTTATTATTTCGTCCATCGAATAATAATCAACGTTATGCATTTCTTCCTCTTTTGGACGATGAACGAGATTGTGATCCAGAGGATATAGATGATTTAGATGAAGAAAAGGGCGAGTCAACTCTATTTGAAACGCTTAAATTACGCAGTAAACAACAAGAAAATGGAACATCAGCTATTGGTGTTAGAATGACTAAAAAACAACAACAACATGCAGAAAAAAATTTAAATATAAAAGAAGATAAAAATGCTCAAGAATCAAATACTATTGATGACAAATTGGCATGGGTCGAAAATAATATTCCGACGTCAATTGCTGATCAAGCATTGCAGGCACTTGATTCAGAGGATGAAATCGTTAATACGAAATTAGAACGATCAAAAATGCAGTAAAAATGAATGCAATGAAAATGCAAAACCTCTCTAAGTCAAAAGAAAAGTTATAGATAATTTTGATGATTGATCATTTTTTCGTTCTTAAATAAACACAATAATGTTTTTGTTTCTCACGTGTACTTATTTATTAAAGAAATTCAGCCGGTTTGAATATCTGATAGAAAATTATCTTAAATGAAATAATGAATACTACTGTGAATAAAACGTTGATCTACAAATGCAAACATGTGATTCACACTATTAAGACTTATTTTCTTAAAAACATTTTTTACACAACTCCGATTCAGTACCTCAATATATATGTAGGGTTGGAACAAAAAAAAATTTTGACACTAAAATGTAATATTTGAGCAGTACGTTTAATTAAACGAAAAATAACGAATTGGATAACAGTAATTGGATAACTTAAGGTAGTCCATTGTCTATCATTGATTGAAAGAAAAAGATATACGATTTCAGACATTCCACTGTCGTTTTTTGTGTTTATTTCTTTTCTTTATTTCTTGTTGTTATGATATAGCGTCGTTTCTTTTTATGGCTTTAGTATACATGACTACAATTTCTTATCATATTTCTTCAATTTTTTTGCTTTAATGTTATTTTTTTGTTTCTGTTTGGTTCCAACACACAAATACATTAACACAATAACAAGAACTATATATATATATATTTTTTTCGTTTCTTTGTTTTAAAACTATTTTTGTTTTATTTTTCTACAGATCAAAAAGAAAAAAATCGTTATTGATATTCCTGTATCTCTCTTTCTCCATGAAACCTCTGTTTATCTCTTATCTCTCTCTCTCTCTCTCGCTCTCGCTCTCTATTTATACATATTCGTCATATTGTTTGTTTATCTGTTTGTTTTTTCATACGTATACAAAGTATAGTGACAATCACATCAGTAACTTTATATATTATCATTTCTATTTGTTGTTGGTATTTCTATTTTGATTTTCTCTTAAATATACAAAGAAATATGGGGATGCTAAAGATGTTTTTGTTTTTTCATGAAAATAAAAAAGATGTTATAAACAATTTATCTTATCTGAATTTTTCGAAATTTGAAATAATAATTTAATTTGAAAACGCCATGTCAGGTCATTGAGTGAGATGTGTCTACCGTTATTGTTTTTTCAGATAATTTTCGCCACAATTCTATTCAACTCGCTAAGATAATTGATATTCTGCCACTATTTTAATAGATTCTGTCTGTTGTAACAAATAACCCTGAAGCTAATGATTTTTCTTAATGCATAAGTTTTTTTTAGCAAAGGTAAAATGAATGAATAGTATTGTCAAATAATGTTTTGTTTTACTTTTACCAAATTATTTGATTGACTGTTCTTCTTATACGATTGTTTTTCTAATTCATTTTATTTATCGGTTTGATTACTTCTAATGATTCTTATTATTTATACATTTACCATTAATAGTAATAAATATATCTGTATTTTTGTTTTTTCTTTCTCATTTTTTTCTGACACCGTAGAGAATTAAAGCGATACAATGTTAGTGTTGTATTTATATGACACATAGAACAGTGATTTAGTGTCATGTTTTGTAAGAGAATAGAAAAGGAATATTTTTATTATACTCTTTGATAATAATCTTCTCATGTAGGGAAATTTCACAGTATATTAAACATAGAAATTTTAGTACATTATCTGGATTTGTTTATTCATGATAAAACAGTCTACAACAATCATATCAATTTTTATGTTCTTTGATAGTAAGATAGTCAAAACAAATGAAAGTCATTTTAAATACTTTCTATACGATAGTATTGTCGATCTTTATTATCTAATAATTAAGATTTGAAGTTTTTAGAAATTTTAAATAGAGATTAGACACTTAAATATTATTATAGTATTGGGGAGCATATCACAAAAAAACTTAAGTCTTCGTTATGTGCACTTATATGCTAATTTTATACACTTAAGTCTAGACTTTAACTTTGAAGTTTTTCATGATACAACTAAGTATGCCAATTAAATAAAACAATTAAGGGGGACAAATTTTGAGAAAAGAGGGACGTAAAGGGACCGTTTTTTCTACAAAGGGGAACAACACAAAACACATTATTTGTCGTGCGATGTCACTGAGAAAATTAAAGGCACGTGAGTATATTCTTTTATTCTGCTTTTTCTAATATTACTACGTCAAAACATCAAATTTAAGGCAAATATCTTTTGTTACACTAAAAACAATAAATGATCAATTTAAACGTACTTTTTTACTTCTGTGTACATATTTTTCACTTCCCCGAATACTCTTGAGAAGTTCTTTGTTATTTAAAATCAAAGAATGAAAATTAGTACACGTTAAGTTTGTGTTCATTGAAATTCTCAATTCTGCGTTCAGTGCTTTTTCTTATGTGAAATCCCCAAGGGGGAAACAGCTGATTTCTCGATGTAAACGGTTTACATCGAAAATCGCTTAAAATCGGAAAAAATAATTGAAAGTTAGTGAAAATCGAAAAATCAGCTATTACTCCCTTGGAAATCTCACATAAGAAAAATTACTAAACAATCAAGGTCTGCTGAACGGGAAGCGTAATACAACGTGAAAAGTCCATTGAAGACGATCAAAAGAAAATATTCTTGAAAAGGGGGACATCATGGGGAACAGTTTGTTGCGGGGGACAAATCTTTAAATGGGGGACTGTCTCCCTAATAGGGAGATATCTGGCAACCCTGGAATCGACTCCCTGGAAATCTAGATAAGTACAAGAAAGTTTGATTTGTAATATTGGATAATTTGAACTAAGTTGATGGTCGATTTTAGACAATATCCATCAATAGTCTTTCAAAATAGTAAAAAAACTGAAATCGTTTCTCATATAACCATTTAAATTGAAAAAAAAAGGATATTTTTATGTCTAACAGTAGATTCTCGTTAGTGATTCTGTACCATGCATACATAAAATTCCATTATGTGTTTTTTCGGCTTTTAGATATTTCACAGTCATTTTTATTTTCTGTTTTCTTATATATATATATTTTCACTTCTTTTTCTAAATGAACCAGTCTGATGGCAACAGTAACGTCCACACCAAATTCTAACCATACGATTTTAAATGAATACAGTCATCAACAAACACCGTTGAATAACTATTCAAAACTACCTCTCGATTATTCATTATCATCACCTTCGTCTACCTTATCACCCGCTTCAACCGTTTCAAGTAGCAATACAACAAACAATGCTTCAATATCGTTGAATTCATCACCCGATAAATCTCAACTACTAAATGATTCTATTATTCAAGAACAACAACGTTTAATCGACTATTTTGTCGTTTGTGGACTAGATAAACAAGCCGATTTGAAACCGTGTGAACTAGCCAGTAAGCAAGAACATTATTTCTTTTTAGTATTAACTTTGCGTTTCATTTCACAATTAGTTTGTGCACATGTAAAGTGTGGACAATATAAAAATTTTCAGCAAAATATTTTTTGCGTTTTAATGGCCGTAGTTGGATAAGCGAGTTGTATAGAAAAATTTGAATTTTAAATTTATCTGATTTACTAAAATTTTGATAAAAGACTTTTTCTTCACTGCTATGTATGAGGTTATGTATCTGTATATTTTAGCAGCATCAACTATAGAAGATGGTAAGTAAAGTTAACATGTGCTATGATCTATAATAAAAGTAAACTAACATTTAATTTGCTAACATAAACAAATAATAGAAAAAAAAACTATATATTGCATGTTCAGATCAAACCTTTGACTAATATTCGTCTCTTTATGTCGATTGTTTGTTTTTTCATATGATAATCTCAAAATTGCACTAATATTTGTTCTTGTCATGTATATAAAACCGCTAGTGATTGTTGGTATTAGTGTACAATAAGAGATAGTATGTACTGTTTATTTATTTATTTTAGGTAATATCTTACTTAGTCCGCTACAAAATTCTTATCGTTGTGAAGTATTAGCTCATTATCCGAAAGATGTAGCAAATAATTCATTTGATGATGAAGCTATTATTAGAGTAAGAAAGATATTTTTTTCATAATTTATCAAGTGAGAGATAATCTTACTGAATGAAGCAGCGTTGCTTTTATGTGAATTACGTTATTCTTGTGATTTAGGATTTCATATAACGTAACCTATTTTTCATCTTCTGATGTTGATAATCATGTGATGTTTTTTTGATTTTATGTAGTTGTCGATGCCTCATGGTCTTACATTTAAAACTCACCCAGAAGAAACTCAAACTCATCCATTTCTGATTACTCGTCTGGATGGCCAACGTTATTATGGTATGGCATTAACCTTTTATGAAAAAATCGATGATACATCTCCTATATGTGTTCAAATGGAACAATTACAAAATGATTTTAATCAACAATTAGAACAATCATCGGTTAATAAAGAACATCATTCACATCATAGTCGAACATCTTTACTATCTACATCTATGTATTCATCTTCGCCATCTACATCTTCACCAACGAAAATCATGTCATTATCATCAATCAGTTCAGGTAGACAATTTAGAATTTAACAATGAAAAAATATTTAAAATGAAAAATTATTTTTTATTTTACTTTAGATTATTCATCATTTCAACGTTTTACAAAATCAAATTCAAAGCGTCAACAATTATTACATTATAGTCGTCTATCAGATACTCTTTATGGAACAAAAACTATTTGTTTAATATCACAATATTCGTTTTATACAGCTTATCGTAAAATTTTGGAAATACTTTATCGTATGGAGTCAGATTTTGATCTACTTGGATTACCTTTGGAATCTCATTTATATAATCTCCTATCTGATGTCTATTTACCACCACCTGGTCACATTATGAAATTTTATGTTGGAGAAAAAATTCTATCAATTTATCGTCCACAAGAAAAAGAATTACCATTACTCGATTTTAGTCTTCTAGAATTTTTTCAATTATTAGGTGTGACAAATGTTGTCGATTTATTTACATGTGCATTATTAGAACATCAAATTATATTAAAATCATATGGTATGTAAGACAAGAATATAATTTATTTAAGTATGCAAAATATCTATTTTTTTATTAGATTATTCTCGTTTGATGTTGGTTGCCGAATGTTTAACAAGTTTATTTTTTCCATTTACGTGGACATTGTTATATGTACCCATAGTATTTACAGCTGCATTAGTCTGCATTGATGTCCCCGTACCAGCTATCATGGGATTGAAAATTGATGATAATGAAGAAATAACATTTGAAGTAAGTACAACAGGGATGTTTGTATCATATCTTGAAGTATGTTAAATAAGTTCTTAATATAGAGTGATAAATAATAATAATAATAATCCACAGCAGAAATATTTTGATTTTAAAAGTCTTGTTTAAAGTTTAACGCAAAATTTGACTCGATGTATGCATCATCTCACAATAATATCATTTTTTATGTGAAGGATAGTCACTGAACAATAAAATTTTTGACAATTTGTTCTAAGTCTCCTTTGCCCACATGCTAATCTCAAAAATTGCGTAATTTAGTTTGTTAAAAAAGGATGTGAACTATATGAACACAGAGATAATAAGATGCTTCGCATTTAAAAAGGTAGAATTATCCCCCAAAAACCGTTTTTCTTCTGATTTTGAACTTTTCTGGATCTGGTATCTCTAGTAGTAACAAAAATCTTATTATGAATGTAGTTTTATTCATTAGATTGAATGTAAAGACTAAACACGTTCAGTTATTTGATTTAGATTGTTTAATACTATATGCTGTAATTGTTTCATCACTACACTGATTTATATTTTCTTTTTCCGTTTTAGGTACAGAGATGTGTTGTGAATATTGATACAGGCAGTATCCAATTACCCGAAGATACTCCATTGTTTCCTGATCGTAATAAATTTATTCAAGAATTAAGTAATATTCTTTCACGTTTTGAATCACAACAGTCACAGTCGATAAATGCCACTAATTCGTCTTCAAAATCAATCGGCCATTCATCTCGTCTCTCAAACTATGATCGATTAGTAAATGATGATTGGCACATGATCTCATCATTTGATCAAGGAGACGATGATAATGAAAATGAAAATAATAATCATTTAGATGAACCAAGTCAAGCGTTAGCAAGAATGGCAGCTATAGCAAAACGAGCAGGAATTATTTTAAATGGTAAGTGAAAATGAACAGTAAATAGAAAATATCAATAGAATAATCCTAATTATTCGATGAATTATTCTTTTCACTCTTTATGCTTATGTATTGGGTATTTACCTAGGTAATTCAAATGATCCCAATGACGAGTTATCCTTGTCTCAACGTCCATCTCTCGATGAAAAAGATCAACTATATTCTTCTGCTGATATTCTACAAATTCAATGTAATTCATGCCTTCGCGAATGTTTTCTTAACCGTTTTGCTCAATTATTTTCTAAATTTGATGAGTTCATTTGTTATCCAACGCTCACAACGGAAACGTCAACAATTAATGAATGGTTAGAAAAACGAAATACTACGAAGAATTTTGATCGTACAACATTTATTAGTGAACAACCCAAACCCTATGTGACATTTCTTCTAGCATTTATGGAAACACAATCGTTTGTATCGTTTATTGATTCAAAGATCATTGCCCAAAAGTTTCAACAACAAGAACAATCGATTCATTTATTTGGACTCACTGAAAAACATTTACAAATATTTTCTGATCGTATTAGCTCTTATCGTTCTCACATAAATCCTACATGTTATGAACCGTGTTCATCCATTCCGGACATCGAAGAAGATATTCGTCGACGTTTTACAAACATTAATTCAAATCTTGTAATTACTGCTCCAGTAGTTCGTCAACTATCGTTCTCTAAACCCACACCATCACGAACACAACAACGCTATTTATTTGAAAATTTAGACTCCACTCTATTGGATAATGTAGCATTATCATCTATAACGAGAACATCGTCGAGTTCAATTCAACAAGGTCGCAATTCTCGACTATCAAAATCATTTCATCACACACCGACTAAAAACTCTTCTAGACATTCGTTGTCATCACATCATGCAAAACTAAAAAAACAGAATACGCAGGGAAATGGACCGACAAAAGTTGGTGAACATGTAGTAGAAACAGAACTGGTCTTTCAACAATTATTAAAAGAGTGTACAATGAAAGTACGTTCGTCATTTTTCCTGTTTTCAATGCATAATTGTATCGTTTAGTAATTTAATAATTTTTTATTTTGTTCTAGACAAAACGTATGGTATTAGAAAAGATGAGTGCCGAAGGTGTTAATTTGGGTAGTCAACGAGATGAAACATATGTTAACTTAGAAGAAAACGTATTGATTGGAGGATTTTGTGATCTATTAGAAAGAATATGGTCACATGGATTACATCACAAACCGGTGAGAAATCATTTATAATTAATTTGAACGTATAGTGAGTCTTATCTACTCTTTGCTTATTAATTTAGCAAGGCAAATCGGCACTATGGAATCATTTAAAATGTTATTGTAAATTGAAACATTATGAAATGGCCGAGCTGCCATCATATTCAAAAGATGAAAATCCCGGTATGGATTTAAATACATAAACTATCAGATTTTTTATTTGGACATCTCCGATAAGTAAGACTTCTATAAGTCGAAAGCTGAATAGTTTCTGCTACCGGCGTTTTAACCCAGTTAGTTTAATCATCACTTGAAGTTTACAAATAGTTTTCTCACTTTCTTTCTCAGTGCCATAAAAGATGTAACGTTCGTCTATAATTCGAACATTGTTTTACCATACCTGTTCTGTAGTAGTTATGCATGGATCCTTCATTAGTTATTTTTCTCTTCCTGCATGATATTTTCCACTTTTAGCATTGGTTTGGTGTTTGATGCGTAAACATTTAGCACACGGTACCCATAGGACACCATCTCCTACTACTCATCGTAAGTGTATTTTATGTTTTACATCATGTTAGATTGTAACACTATCATTAACAGGTTCTCATACGTTACCTCGAAATAAATCATTGAGTACAACGAATCGTCATACGCCCACATTTACAATCTCTACCCATTCACCGTCCAATAATCTTCGAAAAAGAAGTCCCTTAACAACTTCAACATCAAATTTATCACCGCAAATTTCCTCTCAGCAACAGCAACAGGATGATTTTTTAAATCCATTATCGTCAGATATAATGCATGATGTGAATCAAATTGTTGAAATGCTTTCAACAATTTCATCAGAAGTTGGCTGTGCACGAGCATTTATACGTTTATCTTTGGAGAGAAAATTATTGAGTGAACATTTGACAGAATTATTTGAACATACTGATTTATTAAAATCATTATACAAACGTGATTCATTTTTAAGAGCAGATGATGGTGAAGCAAGACAGCAATTTCTTGCACATATTGAATCATTAAAATTAATCGATTATTTCTCATTTACAAATTCTTATTCAGATATCAGTAAGTTTACTTAATGTTCTAATATTATGGATACATCTGTTTCATGTTTAGGTGTTAAATATCGTGTTCTCATTGTTCCATTTCGTGGTTTTCATGCTCAATCGACGTCAGCGAATCCCTATTTATCTATCGATGGGACATTAGCGTCAACAAAAACACTACAAATATCAAAGAATACATTAGAATTGGTATTTAAAGTACGTACCTCAAGACGTTCTCTTTAAGAGACATTATGATTAAGTAAAAATGCACTAAGTCTAAGTTTTCTTCATGGATCTGATATTTCTGTACGTGTAAGTCGCAATCAAATTTCGGATATTAAATTATACACCGAAGGCATTCGAAATGCTGACATTATGATGAATTTTAACTTAGTTAATTTTGACAAAAATTTTGAAAAGAGGAAAATTTTTTCAACAGCATTGAATACCGTACGACTTGAATCAGTTTTTAACCAAATACGATATTTATTTTGAATAAAACTCTTTTCAAATGCAAAATTCGATGGTCATCAGATAACAATCACATAATTTTTCATAAAAATTACAGTAATACATTTTTCTCAGTGTGTTTGTAATATGTCATGCTCCCTTGGCATAACTCGATGATAATAAAAATGATAGATTTATGCTACACACCAAAAGTGAGCAAAACAGAGTTTTTGAACGTTTCGTCTTGTCTTGTGACATTCTCATTTTATCTCGTTTCGTAAAACAATTTTCTTCGACCGTCTGAAGGAATTTCCGACTCATGTCGTATGGAAAAAAGTTTTAAGCGATTATGTCTCGTACAAAAGAAAATTTGGGAAATTTATCTTTATTTATCATTTTTACCACTTATTGCGTCAAAAATACAAAACGTAAATGGAAAGAAAATAGCAGCAGAGTTCTTCACTTTTTCATACTATTGTACGATTATTATTTTTAAAATGACTTTGATTATTATTGACCACGTAGTCATTGTTTTGTCAACATCCGTTCTATAACTGCTGTCGTAAAAATTTCGTTTTGTTTTCTATTTCGTCCGCGCCTTCGCCGCTGTTGCTTAATTTTGCAATCGGCTGTACTAATAATAAAATTTTTAAGTCTAATATCTTGTAGTAGTACCATGCAAACCAAGATGTCCGTTTGTTACCATTTTCTACATTTCTGTTTTTTTGTAAAATATATGGATGTCCGCAGACGTGAACATCGGCGAATCGCTATAATAAGGTGACGATGTGTCGTATCAAGAAACAGATTTTTTTTCTAGCGTAAACTGACAATTGTTGATAAAAAAATTTGTTTTATCAAATTTAAACAAAGGTAAAAGAGTTTCAAGTTCGGTTTGTATGAGCAGTTACCGGGGTTAAAGGGTTAACTTACAGATTCATAGTTTTCACCAGAACTCATCATCATGCTTCCGCTTCACGTTTACTTTCATATAGCGGTCACCGCTTGTGTACAGTGATTCATACGACATTTTTATATCATATTCGTTTTCTTTTATTTTAGCACAAAAATCTCGGACAACTAACAACATTGCGAATTGGACATGATAATTCGGGATTAATGCCCAGATGGGCTATTGAATATGTTCTTGTTCGAAATGATATTACGGGACATATTTACAGGTATTTGTTTAAAAAATAAGAAAATATAATTTACATTATGAATAATTTTGTTCAAGATTTCCTTGTGGTCGTTGGCTCGGTAAAGGTGTCGATGATGATAGTCTTGAACGAATATTATTTGCAGAATCTGTGCCATCATATAGTGAATTATACCAAGGTAAGAATAAAAAGTCTGATTAAGATTGATGATTTAATTAATAATTTTTTAAAGTTTTTATCGTTAGAAAAGAAAAACTGTTTCGCTTATCTTATGCAGAATGACAGTACCTACAACTGTGGTAGTGAAAATTTTTCTTGGAAATTCTTTGTTAGCGTGCAACCACGGGCAGGCATTTCAAAAAAACTATTTTTTATCCTTAAAAGTAGAAAAAACACTGTTTTTACGAGAGCGATCTGATTTGTGAACATCTGCAATTACATAATATCTAGATGTTCAGTTCTTCAGATATTCAGGTATCTTTCTGTTTTCTTTAACGATGGCGAATATCAGGGAGGACTCACTTATCTCTCCGCCTCCCCTTTTTCGCATTTCCCGAAGAATGCATATTTTCAATTTATACTGAAAAGAAACCAAGCTTTTGTGCTTTTCTATCTTCTCTGAAAAATACACATTTTGAATATATGCTAGAAAAGCAAGCTTTTCTGCTTTTCTTTCGCCATGATTGTATATCGATTTGTTTTCTTCAGTTTTGGAGACCGGTCTGATTATCTAAAGATCTGAATATTTAATAATCTTTCCCAAAAATTATCGGTTTTTTCCAAAAATTATAATTGTGAAAATCAGATCCTACTGGTTTTTACAATGTTTCACTTAAAAAACCTTTTAATGTCGCTGGAAAACGTTTCAAACTTATATATACAACGAAAGATTGCCTACAAAATAACTCTACAACGACGTTGATCGGACATTCCAATAAACTATAATGAATTATTTCATAATACCATCGAAATCTTAATTAAGTTTAATTATTAATTATTTAATTACTCTTAAACTATGCATTGCAGACATGATAAGGAGGACCAATCAAACACTTCAGGTCATAGCTCACACTATGTCAAAATATGGAGGATGTGTGGGGGGGGGGGGGGGGGGGGGGGGGGGGGGGGGGGGGGGGGGGGGGGGGGGGGGGGGGGGGGGGGGGGGGGGGGGGGGGGGGGGGGGGGGGGGGGGGGGGGGGGGG